TTCGCCGTTGAAATGTGCGAAAAGCAAACTAAATGTCTAGCTAATGTGAAAATACCCTACAGTCAGTCACAAAAGTCGTATACCAACGGTTTTTGCAAGATTTCTAAAATGGAATCTATAAAAGAGTTAAGTCATAATTATTTAAAAAAACACTTAAATTCAACAAAATAACAAAATAAATTAATAATTCTTCAAAATTGTTCCATTGCAATCTCACGAAAGTACAACTAAAAATTGACGGGAATTTCCCCATGCTTTGTGAATTACCATGCCACCCCAAAGAACGGAAACAGGCGTAGAATTTGGAAAAATTGTATAAGGACTTACTTGACAAAAGTGCCTCTACTATTCAGTACATGATTCAAAAGTTTGTAGATGCCGGAAATATTGAAAATGCACCACGTACGGGCTGTCCAAAATTGCTAACTCCCCGAGATGAACGAAGCATTAGAGAAGAAGTTATAGCAAATTCTTGGAACAAACGCCTCAAAAATAGCAGAAAACGTTCAAAATCAAGTAGATAAAATTGTACGTGCAGAACTGTGAGAAGACTTTTGCGATCGGCCGGCTACAACGGACGAGTACCGCAAAAGAAATCCTAAATTATGGAGGCCATACACCTTAGGGTTTGCATGACGGTTTTAGCCTTGTTTTAACCGACAGATATAACCGAGTTTCATGTTGTACAGGATGTCCAAATTTCGATGGGTTTGCAGGGTATCTCAGTTATTATGAAAGATAGAAAGTTGCGGCTTTCGTGAACCTGAACTACTTTTTTGTGAAACTCTCTTTGTTTTTGATATACAGGGAGTGTTTGAAATTTACAATTTTCAGACACCTCCTGTATCTCGGCTATCCGGAAACTTAGTAAGAAAGTAAAAACGGGTTCTAATAGATTTTTTCACGTGGAATCCAATTGTGCACGTAGAATTTTTCTAGTCATCACGGTTTTTGAGTTATGACACAACTCAAATATTGAATACTCAACTTCTAAAATACTCAGCTCTTTATAACTCAAAAACCGTGATGACTAGAAAAATTCTACGTGCACCATTGGATTCTACGTGAAAAAATCTATTAGAACCCGTCTTTACGTTTCCGGATAGCCGAGATACAGGAGGTGTCTGAAAATCGTAAATTTTGAAAAAAAATTATAAACATAACAAATCAACTTAAAAATGTACAAAGTAATGGAATCTTAACCACTACTGAAGAAATTAACTTCTTATGACAAAATTAGGAGCAGAGCGAACACTGGACTCTTATAATTCTCTTATAACTCCTAAACTCTTCTTCCTCGTAACGAAGTCCTATGAATATTATTGCTAATGCTTTATTAGTATATGTTTCCACTGTCACTAGATTTGAGGTCCTAGGAATTTGTGATTGTCACAAAACATCTAAGACAGTACTAATTTTATCTGCAGCGATATTTTTTGGTTTCAATTTCTCTCTTTAAAATGAGAAAGACCTTTCTTTGTCGTATTTAAATCTTCCATGGTAATTAAAACGATAGCTCTCAATGTTGTATTTTCTAATCGATTCTGAACGCATTTTGTAAAATCTACGGCCAATGTCTCGGGTAATGATATTATGATGTTATTTTAAAATGTTCTATGTTTTCTTGATTTGAAAGTAAATATAACGGATACCTATGAAACAGAAAATCTTTTACTACTAATTATTTCGCTTATTAGTTATTATTCATCGTGAGGAGTAAATCGCTCAGTTTATGCGTATAGGTTGAGAATCATCCTATACGCATAAACTTGGGTTGCTTTTGTATAATCAAGTAAAAAGAAAAGACAAAAAAGTTATAGGTGGCTTGGAATTTTGAACTAGTAGATGCGTTATAAAACTGAAGTTAATTTTTGGATTCTCATTCTAGACAGTCTAAAATACACTTTAAACAAAAAAAAAACATATTTAAATTTCAAAGGTGGCATACCCCATTAAACATTTTTAGTACAATTAAATTAATTAAAAATGACGTGAAAGTTGGGTTGCTTTTGAGTGTCGATAAAGTAGGAAACTATTTGTGTCAAAATTTTTATAAATTTGGTTAATTATTGGATAAATTGGATTTAGTTTGTAAATAAATTAATGTATTAAAAAAAAACAAGTTTTAAAAATAAATTGGGTATATTTTTGTTTTATTTATTTATATTTTTCTTTTACAGTAAATCTTAGTCAGTCTATAAAAATGAAGTTAATTTTTGCTGTTAATGGATTCTCATTCTAGACAGTAATATTATAGTCTGCCAGCTGATTTAGTTCGATTTCTGATGCCCAGATGGGATGCTACCAATATGTGCCCATTCATTTAATTTTACTACACAAATACTAAATTGTTACTTGGGTTGCCTATAGGAAATGTATATTAATTTAAAACTATTTCTAACAACTTTTCTCCCTTATTGGTTGAATACATTTTCAAGTGTGAGTTGTTGACAAAACACAAATTAAATTTTAGTTTTTGCTTTAATATTCCTGTTTGAACTGAGCGTTTTCAGTCGTTTCTTACTTTACGAAGTAGTTTTTATCGCGAGTATTCTTTTTATTGCTGAAATTAGCATGTCTATAACGACTTGCGCTAGTGTGTTATGTGGAAGAACCCGCCGCAATTCTCCTGGGTTGCGAATGTTTCGTTTTCCCGCGTCCGATAAGGAAAGATGTGAAAAATGGATCGAGAATTCCGGTAAGATTTTAATTTTTAAGGTGCAGATAAATCTTTAATTACGATATTAAGTAATTTTTAAGTGGGGAGTGTATTTATATTTCATTACTGCTATATTAAAAAAAATCACACAAAGTATGATTTATTTGTTTAAATTAGGAAACTCTCTTCGGAAAAAAGTCTTCAACTCTTAACTATTTAAGTAATAAAATTAAACTGAAATGTTATCTATTGACTATTTAACATTCAAATGCATTTAAATATGTTATTCAAAATTTAATAAGATCAGATAAAATTACTATTTACTGAACTTTCTATTTTCACTTTAGGAAATTTGGATTTACTAAGTTTATCTCCAAAGTCCTTAGGTAAACGATCAATTTGTGAATATCATTTTCAAGCACAGGATATTTTTAATAAAAAATTATCAAATTATGCCATTCCTTTACCTTACACCGATGCTTGTCCAACGGAAATTGATGGAAACGAACCATTAACATACAGTGACCAACCATCAACATCCAAAACTAGATCTCCAAACTCAATGACATTACAAGAGGTTAGATTCCTTACACCTACCAAAAATATTGAAACAAGTGATAGTGGTCCTGATAAATTACCACTAATCGATATTTCCGAGAGTTTGCGAAATAATTTGCTTAGCGGAGATTTTATATGGAACGAAAAAAGAATTTCATTTAATGATATAAGAAAGCTATTTGATTTAGACCAACAAAGCGACACTGGGAAAGCTTTAATAAAAATAAATGAACAGCATATAAACCCAAATACATTTCATAAAATGAGCGTAAAATTAGCTGCACAATTATTTAGCCATAGTGTGTCTGCTGCAATGCAAACAGCTATCGACACTAAAGAATTAAGCACGAATACTTGTTCAGCAACAGCGGAATTTATAAAAATAGTGGATAATGACTTTGATGCATTGAACAGCAGAAATTTACAAGATAAAAAACCTTGTAAAACGGCATTATCAGAGGCAAATAACGAAACCTTTGCAGCTTTAAATAAAATGACCCCACTGTACAGACATTTAAGGCAGCATTTAAAAGTAATTTAGTTCATAATTTATTAAAAGCTCCAAAAACAGGTAATTGTGAGCCACTGCCAATGGAAAGACTACTAGACAACAATGAAATGTTGAAAAGTGACGAATCCTCTATTAGCACTTCAGAAGAAGANAATCGAGTGTTCTATGATTTTTTGAACAAATGTCCGCTGGAGCAGATTTTTCTAGAAAAAATCGAATAACTCGAGAACGGCCGAATCAAATTGCAAAAAGTAAAGTTATTTATAAACCTTCAAAACAGACAAATCCAAATATGTAAAAATATACAGGTTGTTCCATTTAAAAAAATAAAGTAGGTTCCGGTATAACCGGAAGTGCTAGAAAACTGAAAATATTTTAGATGAAGAGAACGTAATTGATAATACCATTGTCTTTAAATATTATAGTCTGCCAGCTGATTTAGTTCGATTTCTGATGCCCAGATGGGGTGCTACCAATATGTGCCCATTCATTTAATTTTACTACACAAATACTACGTTGTTACTTGGGTTGCCTATAGTATATGTATATTAATTTAAAACTATTTCTAACAACTTTTCTCCCTTATTGGTTGAATACATTTTCAAGTGGGAGTTGTTGACAAAACACAAATTAAATTTTAGTTTTTGCTTTAATATTCCTGTTTGAACTGAGCGTTTTGAGTCGTTTCTTACTTTACGAAGTAGTTTTTATCGCGAGTATTCTTTTTATTGCGGAAATTAGCATGTCTATAACGACTTGCGCTAGTGTGTTATGTGGAAGAACCCGCCGCAATTCTCCTGGGTTGCGAATGTTTCGTTTTCCCGCGTCCGATAAAGAAAGATGTGAAAAATGGATCGAGAATTCCGGTAAGATTTTAATTTTTAAGGTGCAGATAAATCTTTAATTACGATATTAAGTAATTTTTAAGTGGGGAGTTTATTTATATTTCATTACTACTATATTAAAAAAAAATCACACAAAGTATGATTTATTTGTTTAAATTAGGAAACTCCCCCCTTAAAGTCTTCAACTCTTAACTATTTAAGTAATAAAATTAAACTGAAATGTTATCTATTGACTATTTAACATTCAAATGCATTTAAATATGTTATTCAAAATTTAATAAGCTCAGATAAAATTACTATTTACTGAAATTTAAGAATTTCATTTAATTATATAAGAAAGCTATTTGATTTAGACCAACAAAGCGACACTGGGAAAGCTTTAATAAAAATAAATGAACAGCATATAAACCCAAATACATTTCAAAAAATGAGCGTAAAATTAGCTGCACAATTATTTAGCCATAGTGTGTCTGCTGCAATGCAAACAGCTATCGACACTAAAGAATTAAGCACGAATACTTGTTCAGCAACAGCGGAATTTATAAAAATAGTGGATAATGCCTTTGATGCATTGAACAGCAGAAATTTACAAGATAAAAAACCTTGTAAAAGGGCATTATCAGAGGCAAATAACGAAGCTTTTGCAGCTTTAAATAAAATGGCTGAGGCAATGAAGTCGATTAAAAAAATAAGTAAAAATGTAATGAAAACCACCCCAAGTTTTGATGGATGGCAGTTAACTATAACTTCAATAAAACAAATTTTCGAAACACAGCAACGAAAGGGGTGTAAATTTCTTCTAACATCCAGGCTAAATCAGGACATCCTCGAAAATCTATTTTCTATATACCGTCAACGTGGAGGATATAATAAAAATCCCACTGTACGGACATTTAAGGCAGCATTTAAAAGTAATTTAGTTCATAATTTATTAAAAGCTCCAAAAACAGGTAATTGTGAACCACTGCCAATGGAAAGACTACTAGACAACAATGAAATGTTGAAAAGTGACGAATCCTCTATTAGCACTTCAGAAGAAGAACCTTCACAAGAAAATGAACTATTTAATTTCGAAAAGAACTTGGAATCATGTGCAATAAATTATTTTGCTGGGTTTATAATCCAAAAATGTATTAAAAAATTTGATTGCAATTATTGCAAAACAAAATTATTGTCTAAAGAAGATTTGATTGAAGACAGAGACATTTTGTTATTTTACAAAAACTATGATATAAATAATCAACATCATTAAAGAAACCATCCGATTTGCAATACATCTTTGGAAAAATTGCTATGACGGAATTTAATAAACATTTTCCAAGTCATGTTTGCGAAAAGAATTTATTGCAAAAGTTGTGTAAAAAAATTGAGAGGGCAGTACTACATATTATACCAGGCTGGTATAAAAGATGTAAAGCCCATAAAATCTTTATGCTTCACCTTATTGTAAGAACTTTAATCCATAAAAGATGTGGCTTATTAACCTCCAATCGCAACTATCGATCGGTAAAAAAAAATACTAAGTTGGCGATATTAAAACATATATAAGGTTTGTTGTAGATCACAGATAAAAAATATAAAAAAATTAATATGTTTTTTTTTACTTTTTTGCGGTTCCAAGTGCCGTAAATTTATTCGAGGAAAGTTCAACCCCAAATCTGTGCCCACATTTAAGTTGTTTATCAGAATATTTTTTTCTTTTTTTGTACTTTAAAGATAATATCTCGATAAAGAACAGGATCGATAGCTCCCGATGAAAAAAAGGACGTTTAGTAGGTACGTATACGCCCGGTACGCTTAGCGTTAAATTCGCCTCTGACGTTAATAGAAGCTTAATAGAAGATATTGAAAATATCAAATTATTAATCTAAAAATATTAATTTATCACATATTCATTGCTTATTCTTTTAAGAATCCAAAAGTATAAATAAAAAAATTGTTGGTGAGAATTCAATCATTAGGCAACTAACATTACATTATTCATTCATAATGATTAGTTACAACAAAATACTCCGTTCGGCAGCACCATACAGACCATAATATCTCGGATAAGAACCATATTTTACAGAGCGTTGGCAGACTATACTATTTAAAGACAATGATAATACTTAAGTTTGAATTCTCAATTTTTTATTTTGGCCAGAACCACAGAAACGTCTAATGACCGGTCTCGCTGAGACACCCTGTATACAGAAATAAATAATCTCGTTTTTTTAGCAAACCAAGCTGGATTAATGCTAGGATTAATCTACGGTTGGTCATCACCAGCAATTCCAAGATTAAACGGCTCCATAGAACCAGAAAACAATCCTCTACCATCACCAATAACATTATCACAAGAATCTTGGATAGCTTCTTTGTTACCATTGGGTTGTATTTTTAGCGCATTCATAACTGGATTAATATGCGACAAAATCGGAAGAAAAAGAACTTTGCTAACCGCAGCGATTCCGTGCATCGTTGGATTCACACTCTGCGGTTTTCCAAAAAACGTTTACTACTTTTATTTTGGACGATTCTTTTCTGGGTTGGGTTGCGGAATAATTGCGGTTGTAATGCCGATTTTCGTTGGGGAAATAAGCGAAAAGCATAACCGAGGACTTCTTTGTTGTGTTTATACTGTTGCCATATCGATTGGAAATCTTTTATTTTTTGGTTTGACTCCGTATTGTGGGATATACGCTTTAAGCATTTTTGGGTTAATCGTTTCTATATTATTTTTAATAACATTTACTATTTTTATACCAGAAAGTCCTTATTATTTGTTAATGAAAGGTGAATTAAATAAGGCAAGAAAATCGTTATTAAAATTAAGATGCAATAACACAAAAATAGTTGAAATCGAATTACCAATTATTAAAAAAAATATCGATGAAACTTTATCAATCAAACGAAATTTTTTTGATTTTTTTAAAGATAAAGCTCTCTCACGAGGTTTAATGATCGCTTTAGGCTTAGCAGCTTTTCAACAATTATCCGGAATAAACATCATTTTCTTTTATATGCAATCAATATTTGAAGAATCTCAAACTGGATTATCTTCAGATCTTTGTACTGTGTTCGTTGGACTCGTCCAATTAGTTTGTAGCGTTGTCACATCAATAACCATCGATAAGTTTGGAAGAAAAATTTTACTATTAGTCTCAGCAATTGGGATGTTAATTACATTAACAGTTTTATCTATTTATTACCATTTAAAAGAGCGCAACTTCGACGTCCAAAATATAAGCTCTTTACCAATTTGGTTCATTAATCTTTACGTTATGACGTATACTCTGGGTTTTGGGCCGATTGTGTTCGGAGTTGCAGGAGAAATTTTTCCACTTTACGCAAAATCAATTGCCTCGACTTTAACCACTTCAACCGGCTTGATTTCAACTTTTTTTATCACGAGTTTATTTCCGTATTTGAAGGAATCAATTGGGATTGGATATACTTTTACAATTTTAGCGGTTATTTGTGGCTTTGCTGGGTGTTTTGTTTATGTCAAGGTACCAGAAACGAAGGGGAAAACGTTGGAAGAAATCGAAGTAATGTTGAAGATATAAAAATGTTATTATTTGTTTTTTGTAAATACATATAATCTTTTTAATAAATGTTAATTAACATAAAATAAATTGGTGTTGAAATGAATACTGTTTGAACAAACCTCGAAAGAAGTTTAAACAAATTAAAAGAATAATTATTAAAAGTTATGCAACATAAATTACTTCAGTAATTGACGTTTAGCTGGAATCTCAAGGTCAATGTCATACCGTGTAGTCTTGGTTGACTGATTCGAAATATTAACATGTAAAGCAACAAAATCTTTGCACTCAACAGATTTATTTTATTGAAAATGTGATATAAAAGAAACTCTTATTACAAAAAATGAAATAATTTATAAGATTACAAATAATTTTGACACTCCTAATCTAAGAAATACTTTTATTAGTTCTTTTAATTATAACCTAATTTATGTTGGAAGGAATAAAAAAAATTACTTATACTTAAAATTGTTATATACTTAAAAAAAAACTAAATACTACCACGGGTTGTATTCCCCGGTATCCCGAGGATCGCTTACTCTACATCGATAAATAAAAGCAAGCTTCATTCTGTTATCTTCTTGACGGTAACAAGCTGTTCCTTCTTCGCAATAACAATTCCTATAAGAATCACAAATAAAGATAAAAATCGATGTTGATTTTTATTTTTTTTACCTGTTTTGCATGTAACTATCAACCTCGCGTGAAAACCGGTCGTATAAGCCCCAACCACATGGCGTATCTTCACCGCAAGGTTCTGGAGGATTCGTGGGAACGTCTAAAAATGATCCGGTTTTGTTCCAATCGGGCTAAGAGATTTTAATACAAATTAAATAAGTTATAAAAGAAATTTATTAAAAAAAACGATTTTTACTTTTATATATGCAACCCAAATTACACAAACATTTTTGAAGTGATTTGAACGAGATTTTAACTTTACTAAAGGAAAACTTGTATATGCCAAGGTTGGGTTGTTACAGAAAATGCAAAATTTTCTACATTTTAAGCCTTTAAAAAGATGGGTAGGATCATGGTCACCAAAACTCAGGAAAAAAACTGCAACTTGTGGAAAAAGAAGAAGCTTCTTTATAGTGCCTATTTCAATGTCTTCGTTGTAATGTGTGCCATATTTGGGAAGAGAATATAAATGCAAGAAAAAACTAATCTAAACTACGTAAAAATCCTCTTTTATTGAATATTTATCCTCTTTATTTATGAGAAAAAAAAAACAAATAATTTAGATAATCATGTTGAAAACATGTTGATAAGCTGCTTTCATTCATTCATAATTCTTAAATACAAATCGTTACGATTTTCGACGTTATCATGTCATATTAACAGTTTTAATTCTGCGTGTGTATCAGTTATTTTTTTACACTGTTGTAATTTTATTTGTTTTTCTTTCGTCGCACGATGAATGACAACATAAGAAGTTACAAATCAGATGAAATTTACTCTTTGCCCAATCTTTTTACGATTTCACACATTATTTTTATTGAATGAATGAAATCGCGTACTTATAAATAAATAGATGTTGGAATATTCTGACCGGATGTGCGTGTAAAAGGTCAATATTGCAAAATTTCTAAAAACAAGTACTTGGAATTTATAATGTCCAATGTCGTTAAATCAATTTTATATTAATTCGTAAAGAGTTTGAGAACGAAAATATTTACGATGAGAATTTAAGACGTAAAATGAAATTTTGTAAATATTTACTCTTAAATTAATTTAATAAGTTAATAATAATAAAAATTAGTAACTTACAGGGTTTCCAATTATTCCAATAAAAAATCTGGTTAAAACCAGTAAGAAGACAACACAAGAAATTTTGTTATCCATAATAAAAAACACTTTCAACTTTTTATTATAAACTAAGCTTTATTTTTTTTTGTTCTTAATTATTGGTAATTGTGTCCACTTCGAAGATCACTACAAAAATTACATTCAAAGTCAATCGGTTCAACCCTATTTATACTTAGTGTGTGGAGTGTGCGAAAGGCCTGCGCACAAATGATCTTTACAAAGAAAACGGGATAAAAACAACACATTATTTACAATTTCAACCCATTTTCCTCCACAAATAATTTCATTTAAAATTATTTTTTTAAAATTATTTTAATTTTTGTAATGTACTGTCATTTTAAATTATTAATCGTTTATTAACCGTTTTCTTTATGAAGAAAAATTAAATTAAATATTTAAATCGAATTTTATGAAACAAAATTTTTATTATTTAGTGACGAAACATTTTTTACGTCTATGAATGGTTCCAAGTTCGTTTTTCTAAGACGTAGTTTTATTGTTTTTGTTTTCTGATTTCTTAGAAAAATATTCTTTACACAATGACTCTCTTGTATTTAAAGTACACACACAATAAATTATTAGACTTGAAACCGAACCCACCATACTATTTAAAACACTTTTGAGATAAGAGCTTTAATACAACGACGTCATCAAATATTCTCATAAAATAAACAGACTTAGTAATTTGGGTTTTACAAAGAGGTAATTTTTCTTGTGTTAACACAATCTTAACAAATTCTTTCCTAATTGTTTATAATTATTCTAATTCCAGATGCAGCTTTTGACGTCTGTGTGATTAATTTTAAATTATGTTGAAACGTACTGTTGATATGGTTAAGATAACGCTTTACCAAAGTTACAAGTTTTTATCTCTTTGATGAATACAAAAAATTTCTTCTTAAATTTCAACAAAAACGAAAATGTCGGCGTCTTAAATCTCACTTTGATATGTTTCCGTTTTGATATCTCAAACGTCAACAATTCGCTTTTTACCATTTATTTTTGTTTCTCCTAAAATAAAGAATAAGTATAAACGAATATTTAAAAAAATCTTTCATTTGAAATATATTTCTTTCATATAGGCAACCCAATTATCAATTAATTTTAAAATAAAATATATTCGAATAACATAATATAAAAAATAATTTGGTGTTAATAAAATGATTTATAGACGAATTTAACAAATTTACAAATTGAATTCGTGATATACGTTGAATATTATAAAATTAATACAATATTTGTATTTTGACAATTTTGACATATGTAGGTACAGTTCTGTTCAGATATAATGCGAAAAGAGCCGCTCGTAGAGGCATAAAATTGTAGTCAAAAAAATTTTTTCGGATTTAGATTTTGAGATATTGTGATAATTTTAGTTTTTTTAAATGGAAACAACCACTCATTATTCGTTTATTAAATTCGTTATTTTTTTCTGATTACAAAAATATGGGGTTAGATAGGTCTATTTCTTATTGTTTTAGAATAAAGTTAAAAATAAACTTTTTTTTGGTGTCGTCAAAGAAATTAAATTTACAGTTTCCTGTAAATTATAACTAAAAATTAAAAAAACATATTAACGATATTTGAAACAAATATATTTGTTTCAAATATCAGAAATATGTTTTTTTAATTTTTAATTATAGTACCGTAATTTACAGGAAACTGTAAATTTCATTTCTTGGAAGACACTAAAAGAAAAGTTAATTTTTAGCTTTATTCTAAAACAATAAGAAATAGACCTGTCAAACCCTATATTTTTATAATCAGAAAAAAATAACGAATTTAATAAGCGAATAATCGGTGGTTGTTTCCATTTAAAAAAACGAACATTGTGATATCTCAAAATATAAAACCGAAAAAAATTTTTTTACTACGTCATCAAATTCTCTGTAAAAAAGTGTCCATATAATGTCTTAGTTACAATACTCCAGCTATAATAATAACCAAGATAATTCCATTTGCTGGTTTTACGATATTTTCAATTTTGGCCTCTAGGGGAAAAACAAAAGACGATAGCGCTATGAGGTTTTCGGCATTAGCAGTTTCTCGAAAAACGAGATCATGACATGTCAGCTACTTTTCTTCTAACTCTTATAGTTTTCGAGTTAGCCTATTCGGACATCGAATTTGAACCACCCTGTACATAATTAACGTTTCCAAAAATGAAGAAAAATGTTTACTTTTTAATGAAAAAACAGTTTTCCAAAATTACATTTAGTTACATTAATAATTACTTTTTGTTTGTTCCATATGCGTTGTTTTATTGCTTTAAAATTTAAACGAGATCAAAAATGTAATAACCGTGTGAGAATATGACCAAATGTCCATGCTTTCTATGATAACGAAGACGATAATTTTCTGAATCGTTTTGGGAACGTTGACGACAATTACAAAGTATGAAAATTAATTATTAAAACGAAACAATTTTGGAATGTGTTTCCGATTTCCTGGGAAACGAATTTAAATATTAACACCTTTTCATAATTTAAAGATAATTCACAAACAAATAAATAGCACCCCTTTCGTTTGGGAACATTCCATTTATTCTCATTCATTTTACAATGTCTTCTGATATTGAATGTTTTGGTGAAAAAATTTTCGAATATCGAACCCATCGTTGGATGGGTTCGACTGCAATAATAACCGGGGCGAGTTCAGGAATTGGTGAAGCGATTGGCGAAACCCTTTTAAAATTAAAAATTAACGTTGTCGGAATAGGAAGAAATTTAGCAATTTTGAAAGAAATCGAAAAGCGACACCTCTTAGATTCCGCTCTTGGAAAATTTTTTCCGTTCGAATGCGATTTGAAAAATGAGAAAACGTTAATAGAAATTTTCGAATACGTTAATACCAATTTGGGTGGAGTTAGCGTTTTGGTTAATGCTGCGGGAATTTTGTTGCCTACCACTTTAATCGATGGTTCAACAGAGATGTGGCAAGAAATGATGGAGATCAACGTAATTTCGCTAGGGATTTGTATTAACGAGGCGGTTAAATCAATGATTAAAAATAATATCGATGGGTGTATTATCAATATTAATTGTTATTGTGGTCATGAAGTACCCAACATCCCATTTCCAAGTTATAATTTTTATTCGGGTACGAAATTTGGAGTTACCGCTTTGAATGAAACTGTTCGACGCGAATTAAAACATTTGGGGTTAAAAATAAAAACTTCAGTAAGTTATTAACTCATAATTATCAATTAAATTTATTTTGGCACCAATTTTACAAACAGCATAAAGACTAATGATCCAAAATATATCCATTTTTCATCGTCAGTCGCAATTTGATGGCAAAAAATCTTATTTTTAGATGATTTCTCCAGATGTCGTAAATACCGAATTAAATCATAATTTATTAGATATAGCTGATACCAAGAAATTGTTAACTAAAGGTCCCACTTTAAATCCTGAAGATGTCGCGGATGCTTGTCTTTTTATTTTAGGGGCACCACCAAATGTGGGAGTAAGGATTTTTTTATATAAAATTTTATATCTTTTTAATATTAACCTTCTTTTTAGATTGACGATATAAAACTTAGAGCGATATAGAAATAAAGGATAAAATAAATTAGTTACTTTTTTTCTATCATACCTGTCAAGGTTAATTCTTTAGGGTTTATGTTGGTATTATCTAGTCTAGATTAACATTTAAACGTCAATGTTAATTTTACCAACTGTTACCAACTTTATAATAATTTGACAAGAAAACAAAGTATATGTTAGAATACTAATTTGTTTATTTGCAGTTAATATTTAGAATTAAAAATAAAGTTAAGTAGCTGCCTTAAAAAAAGTTTGTTCTTTTTCGTTAAGTTAATATTAAGTCCTCCTTTACACTGGCAGTACTTTGAAAAAAAAAAGAAAAAATAGAAAATAAATCGAGGACTAGTTTTCTTTTGCACCATATCTATAAAAATACATTTAAATATACAATAACTAATTTATTGTTATTAAGGAAGTCGAAATTGTATTTTTTTAAATATTTTTAGTTTTTGATGGTCATTGTTACATTCTATTCCTAATGATTTTTTCAAAATCTAAGAAACTAATATTATATCATATTTCTGCCACTATGTTATTTTTTTTATGATTACAAATAACCTTAAAATTACAATATTACTGTCAAAAAGACCAAAAAAATACTCTCCACCATCTAATATTTACAAAAAAAAATCTTAAAAAAGTACATTTTTATCCACTACTTAATATTTTTTATTTATCTTCGAATTTAAAACTTGAATGGAGGAGACAGAAACTTGGTTGAGGAATACTGGGGTAATGTGAAGTTAGAATATGACAAAAATTAATTCGTAAAGCACTTTGTATGGAGCTGAAAATATGAAAATGAGGAACAAAAAATTTTAGAAAAAAAAATCTTTCGACAGCGACTCATTTTTTTAAGATTGATTTTATCTCACTTTGTCCGTAGTATGTAGCACCTTTACGACGAGAAAACCAAAAGCTGTAGCCGCCGCTAAACCCAATCCAGCTTTCCACCAGGTCGTGGAATCGGATGGCAACAAACCAAATTCACGAAGATTCCTATTAAAAAAAAAATACAAATAAAATTCTAAAAATGTTTAAGTTTTTAAGAAGTGCTACAAAAAGAACATGCTTACAATTAGTTAAAAAAAGCTGCAAAAAATATTATTAAATCAAAATCTAAATGATTTAAATTTTAATAACACACATGCATTAAACATGATTAAAAGTATAAATTGGAAATGTTAAGAAAAGAAAGATGAGTACAAAAGAAAATCCGAAATAACGTCTAGCTTATGTGTTTTAATATTCATTATTTTTTGTAATCTATAGCAAAATCTAAAAGAAACTTTTTTGCAAAACTTACAACCCGAAAACAATAAGAATAGCAAGTCATCGACTAATTAATAGAATTATGCAGATTAAGAAAAATAGTCGGTTATTTTTATTTAAGATTAATTCGTTTTATTTAACCTGTAAAATTGATTAAACCATTCCGAAGGCTGAGGTCGCAATAGCAACATATTAACCATGCGACGCAACGGACTGGAAAATAAAAGAAAAATACATTTAGAAAGAAACTCATTTCTCGTAAAATGTTTATAAAACGGACTTAAAAAATAACAATGAAAGAAAGAGAAATCTTCGTTATTAACGATTGTAGTCTTGTGTTGATATACTTATACTCATCCATAATATTCATGAAAAGAAGCTCCGAATATACTGTATTGAATAACAGTTATTTGTTTAAAAAACTAATTTTGTTTCTTATATCTTAAGGTTGTTTATACAAAATTGAAATTGAAATTACAGATTTCTATTTTAAATTCATTGACAGAGAGAGAGTCTAACATCAATAATGACAGATGTCAAATTGAACGAAAAAAAACTATTATCCTTGTTTATANCATGGACGTTGCATAATACTCATCTAGAATATTCTCGTGATACAGTTACACGAGTATGTTGAACATAGTCTAAATCCAAATTAAAATCTTGCTTTCAGCTGCATTAAAAGCACCGCATAGTGATGCTAAGTAATTGGGCATCTCAAGTATTAAAACATTTCTAACTTTATAGAAACTACCCACTCTTTTTGTACTTAATTTTTAACATAAGAGGCTTTTTTTAGTATAGAAGCAGATCTCAGCTCTATATTGATGCTTGGGCAATTCTGACAATTCTCTATAAGAAGTATTTCTAGTATCAAAGCATCATAGAGACACCAGGGTAGTTATAACATCTCCATCTGTAACTCAAAATTATGTTAAAAGTACCTCCAGCTACTAGAGGATGTTTGGTATCAAAACATCTTGACGTGGAAGGTGATGTATAGAAAGTATCTCTGATATACGTTTGGTATCGTATATACAGGTGTATCTAAATTGATGCGAAAGATTTTATGGGGTGATTTTTCAACGAAAATTAAGGGGATCTTTCATATAACTTTTTGGTCAAAACCACTTCTTCTCCAAGTTAAACCCTCTAAACTTAGGGGAAAAAATTGTTTTTCTTTAATAAATCCACTATGGAGGAATTTGGAAGGATGAAATTTGGCAGATAACTATTACTAATAAAGTGACATTTTTTGACGATTTTTATAATCCTACAATGTAATCCACCCCTATAATACTTTGCATCAGAACTTTTCAATACGCAACTTTTTTGTCTCTTAACATTTTCATAAAAAAATAAAATAATACACATGTTCAAGGGAATTAATTCAGAGATTGGTAATTATTAATCAAAGAAATGAAGTTATGTCAAATTGATCTCAGTATTATTTATTTTTGTGATAAAACTAACAATTTGTTAGTTGTAAAATGTGAAGAGATAAGCAAGTTGCAGATTTTTTGCGTTAACTTTAGAGCGCTATAATTTGGAGAAGAATTGGTTTTGAACAAAAAGTTATATGAAAGACACCCCGTAATTGTCGCTGAAAAATCATCCCTTGAAATCTTTCACATCAATTTAGAAACACTCGTTAATAAAATCAGAAATATCGTTTTTATTTATTTAATTGATTCTAATTAATATGTCTTAATTTTTGTATTTGTATTTTAACCAAAGAGCAACCCAACTCGTCCGGTTGGATAACTATGTATATCTATAAACAAGGGTTTATACAAAATTGAAATTACAGATTTCTATTTTAAATTCATTGACAGAGAGAGAGTCTAACACGTCTAACATCAATAATGACAGATGTCAAATTGAACGAAAAAAAACTATTATGTTTACGTTAATAACCGATAATTCTCAAATAAAATGAAAGTAACAATGTTATCGCGTAATTTTGATTCTTCAACTGACTCGTAAATTATCTTTCAAAATTTCGATTTTTTTCAAACTACTTAAAATTCCAAAACTTATTCTATTCATATCTTCTTTAATACTTCACTAATCTAGATGAAACTTCGTATTTGATGCTTATATCTTTCTATTTTAGCTGTTCATTGGAGGTTTGAAGATTCTCCAAGGGCAAATGAAAATTTAGAACTTTACAAATTTAAATCAAATTTTCAAGGCCAAAATCGTTCAAAATCTTTCGGAATCTAATAAATTAGATATAGCTGACACTGATTTTCCCGTTTTGGATGGTTAAGAAACGATATTAACAGTTTTAAGAAAATTATGAGCAACTAAAAATTAACTGTCAACAGAAATGAGGTTATCTAAACTTGTTTTGGAAGCTTTATTACAATACCTAAACTTTGGCAAATTTAAATAATTTTCGAAGAGCATGAAAACGTTATTAAGTACGATTCAGAAATGATGATATAAAAAAAAGCAAAAAGTTTGACAGGAAACTTTCTAGCTAGTTACAAAGAAATGAATAAAAAATAGATATCTATTAATATGGAAATGGAAACGTCGCGAATGTGTATTTTTTAATCTACTCGAAATAATAAAGAGTCTTGTTGAAATATGTTGACCAACCTGTGTTTGTAGAATAGTATCCAAGCCGGTTGAAAGCGACTAAAGGAGAAAAATTTAACCTCAAAATACATTTTATGTCAAATTTAACCTCAAAATACATTTTATGTCAAATGTAACCTCAAATTAACTTTTTATTGAAATAAATAGTAATAAAAAGAGATTTACTTACGGAAATGCAGCCATAGTAGCCAATTTAACATAAACGTCTTTTCGGAAATGTCCTTTAATACTAAACGTTTGCGGTGGTATGATCCGATACTTTTGACAGAAAGTAGTTGGCTGCAGAAGATAATCTTGTCGTTCTTCTTTCAAATCACTCTTTGAAGCTACTATTAATACGGGAATTTTACTTTCTGCAAAATATTTCTAAGAAAAATATTTTTAAAAAAATTTTAAATTCATTAAAAATGTTTTTTTTTTAAACTTACAATAAAAATTCTTGTGATGTATTCAAACGACTTCGGATTACTACAATCATACATAAGACAAGCAACATCACATTGCACCTCTTGAGGTAATAATGGATCAGATAAATTTCTAACATTTATGTCACGAAGCACCATTATTTTTTCTTGTCCGTATACTTGAACCATATTTACTGTACAAGTTGGTGTTCCAGAAGTTGGTGAAATATGTGATCTCTACAAAAAAAAAATCATAAAAACATTCATTTTTCACTCGTTAAATAATTTACCTCTGAAACATTTCGAATAAAGCTACGACAAAAACTCGACTTCCCACAACCAACAGGACCAATTACATGGCATTGATATACATTTCTACTTGACTGCTTCTTTGATATATCCACCTTTTTATCTCTCGTAACTAAAACATATAGAAAAAAACATTAATATAATTTTATGTTAGTTAAATTAACCTTTAACTAAATTGTAAATATTTTTTTGTAATTCGCGACGCACAGACGGGTATTTGAACGATCTACACGGCCAAAATTATTTTATGTTCGATATTGATTCTAAACGATATTAGTAAATGAAACAAAGGTTTTAATATTAAATCGAGACAGTACTCATGCTACTTAACAGAGGGTCCGAAGTCAAAAGAAGCCGGTTAAAAATGTCTCTGTTGCAGTTGTCTCTAGAAAATTTTCTAGCGAAGTCTTGGCGGTATGACCTGAAATGCTTATTACGCGCTTCCGCGGCCTCTTCGGAGAGCTGCCCAATGGGCAACAATGCATTTTTTATTATAACTGCACCATGGNTGTCACGAAGCACCATTATTTTTTCTTGTCCGTATACTTGAACCATATTTACTGTACAAGTTGGTGTTCCAGAAGTTGGTGAAATATGTGATCTCTACAAAAAAAAAATTTTCATAGAAACATTCATTTTCCACTCGTTAAATAATTTACCTCTGAAACATTTCGAATAAAGCTACGACAAAAACTCGACTTCCCACAACCAACAGGACCAATTACATGGCATTGATATACATTTCTACTTGACTGCTTCTTTGATATATCCACCTTTTTATCTCTCGTAACTAAAACATATAGAAAAAAACATTAATATAATTTTATGTTAGTTAAATTAACCTTTAACTAAATTGTAAATATTTTTTTGTAATTCGCGACGCACAGACGGGTATTTGAACGATCTACACGGCCAAAATTATTTTATGTTCGATATTGATTCTAAACGATATTAGTAAATGAAACAAAGGTTTTAATATTAAATCGAGACAGTACTCATGCTACTTAACAGAGGGTCCGAAGTCAAAAGAAGCCGGTTAAAAATGTCTCTGTTGCAGTTGTCTCTAGAAAATTTTCTAGCGAAGTCTTGGCGGTATGACTTGAAATGCTTATTACGCGCTTCCGCGGCCTCTTCGGAGAGCTGCCCAATGGGCAACAATGCATTTTTTATTATAACTGCACCATGAATAAGGATTTTGTGCATTGTTGGTGTCATAGGATGCCAAGGATATAGATAGACATATAAGCGAGCAGTATCTAGTGCATATTTATCGTATTTTACCGCATCGATTATATGTCCACTCGAAATCGTTTCTAGTATGACTTTTAATCTGTATATTAGTTCATGACTAATACCCGTTATATCAGAAGCTAACTGAGGATCTTCAAAAAACCTTCTGCTTGTATTACCGTCATTAGTGTTGCCGAAATTTGCCTTTGGCATATCTACCATCAAACCAGTTTCTTTTCGAAATCTAGCTTGAATTTCCAGTTTCTTATCATTTTCGATTTTTTTTTCGGCTTCTGTTTTCCTCTCTTTGTATTTTTTTACAGGCAATTTATACGCCAAGTGGAGAATGCTTTCGAAAAGACGAATCCTCGCATGTAGAACCGAAAGCCCAAACTCAATAGCTTCAGGATTTATCTCTTTTTTAACATCTAATCGGTTGAAATCCTTAGAAGTTGCACCGCATATGTAGCACAGGCTTGTGGATTTCGTACCTGTGGCAGCATTGCAGAGTTTACCGTCTACCATTGTCATAATGAATGATTGTTTCACTAAAAATTTTTCCCCATTTAAATAAACCTCTGTTGCCGTTAGTGAATCAGTAGAGTTTTTGACATAATTAATTTCTTCTTCCGTTATGACGGTACTCTCTTTTACGAAACGAAACCTAATTGGCCGGCAATATCGTGCAGAAGAGGGTGTTGGGTTTTCCCATACAATCTTTTTTTCATCTTGGCCACAAACCAATCGTAGAGGGACGAAACAGCTCTGAAATATATTAGCATCTGAGTCAGCATCATTTTCAAATTTTTGTTTGTACTTAGATTGCTGAGATCCGTCACAACCCCATTTACATATTATCTTTAGGCTATCTCGTTCTTTCTCATTTAATGTCATCAGGACGTCTTCTAGGGAGATTGACAGACTCCTTACGGTTAGATCAACCAAAGATTGTAAGTCGCTTTCAGCGCAGGTACTTGTTACTTTGCATGCCTCTGGCGGTGGGTAACATTCTTGTTTTGTCTTTTGTAAAAGGCTGTAACAAGGGAAGAACTTTTTGTTGGTATTTCTAATTATTTCGTACTGTCGACGACTTAAATCAGCTTCTACAAACATTGCCAATGCTTGCAATGGTGTAAGAGGGCCAGTTTGTTCTTTTCTTGTTTCAGAAAATGCCCTCTTATATTTTGTTGCACGTGTCGGACTAGTATTGGTGATTTCTTTTAATATATCGGAAACATTTCGTTTTCCACTTTTCCGCAACTGAATCTGAGCAGCTTGAACGACCACGTCTTCTTCTACATTAAACCGAATCTCCTCAGTTTTCCTCCTTTTTGTTCTTTCACTTGAATCTCCAAATAACTTACGTGGGCGGCCTGGCCGATTTTGTGCAACAGCGGGAATCTCAATAGTTCCTTCAAGCCATGAATCATTGTGTTTGCAAAACACGTCTTCCTTCTTCTGAGCCTTTGACCACCTTTGTCTTAATTGGCTTTTAAAGTGAGAAAAGGTGGATTTAAAGGTCTTAATTTGTTCTTCTGAGTACGCTCCGCATGACAGAAGTTCCTCATTCAAGAAAGTCAGTTTTTCTTCCAAATTAGGCAAATTAAAGCTCTGCATGCGGTCGAACAAGTATTTACGGGTCACAGTTCTAGTTCCCGAGGTTCTATGTGAACCTAAAACAAAAAAGACACCTTAAAAATTCACTTAACATAAATAAAGACTTTTATATGTTTTCTTCAAAACAATAATTAGGTACTTTTCCGCGGCAAAATTTTGGATTAGTCATTACTCAAAGCTTTAAACTTTCGATTATATCAAGAATTATGACAGGATCTAACTTGGTAGTATAACATATTCCTTTTTAAACACAAATTATAGCTAAAAAATATTCCATATTACGCGTGAATTTCAATATACTAAAACGAAACTTTCCAATTACAAAAATTATACAAATTATATTTAAATTAGTAGATACTTACCTCCTTTATCAGGATCCATAACTTTTTTCTTCCAAAATAAACGCAAAATAACAAATATTCACTATTAACTCCGTGTTGCAAACGAACGCCCCGAGAACAAACACATACACCATGTGACACTATTAAATTCCGAAAGCCCATGGAAGCGCGGCATGCACGGTGGGAAGGCGGAAGGGGTTGGGTATTGTGATTTAACCTGTCAAGCATCCTAGACTTTTGACTGTGATGGTTGACTTTGACTTTTGATAATTTGACTTTTGGCCGCTTAGATCGTTCAAATACCCGTATGTGGCGACGGTAACGAAAGCTCTAACAGTACTCAAACGAGTGCTATAATGAAACTCCTTATAGCATCCGATGCTGTAATGAGATTTTAGTAACATTTTATGGAAGCAGTTCAAGTTGGTGATATTGGGTGATTAATTTTTTTAGTTGTCAATGTGACAATTTTTGTCTATGGATGTTTAAACACGTTCTTAGCATCGAATACAAGGTCCACAATGATGAGGACATTGAACACTGAGCAATTTCTCTTATTTTGGGAGGTGTACATGAAACATTTTTTTCAGGTGAATACATTTTGTGTTTTGACAGTTTCTAATTGTCAATTCAAATTTCTATTTTCAAGTGTTACGGTGTTACCAACTGCTGCATACCTATTTCCCTACATTGTCAAAATTTATTTTATTTTTGTTAAAAAAAAGGGATAAAAACGCGAATTACAAAAAATAGCATAAAAAACACGTTTCATAAGACTTAAAGCACTCATTCATTAAAAAACTCGTGGCTTCGCCACTCGTTTTTCAACTTGAATTCGTGCATTTCAAGCGTGTCTTACGAAACTTGTTTTTTAATATACTATTTTGTAATTCGCTACGGTAATGGAAGCTATAACAGTACTCAAACGGGTGCTGTAATGAGACTCCTTACAGCATCCGATGCTGTAATGAGATTTTAGTAACATTTTATGGAACCAGTTCAAGTTGGTGACATTGGGTCATTAATTTTTCTAGTTGTCAATGTGACAATTTTTGTCTATGGATGTTTAAACACGTTCTTAGCATCGAATACAAGGTCCACAATGATGAGGACATTGAACACTGAGCAATTTCTCTTATTTTGGGAGGTGTACATGAAACATTTTTTTCAGGTGAATACATTTTGTGTTTTGACAGTTTCTAATTGTCAATTCAAATTTCTATTTTCAAGTGTTACGGTGTTACCAACTGCTACATACCTATTTCCCTACATTGTCAAAATTTATTTTATTTTTGTTAAAAAAAAGGATAAAAACGCGAATTACAAAAAATAGCATAAAAAACACGTTTCATAAGACTTAAAGCACTCATTCATTAAAAAACTCGTGGCTTCGCCACTCGTTTTTCAACTTGAATTCGTGCATTTCAAGCGTGTCTTACGAAACTTGTTTTTTAATATACTATTTTGTAATTCGCGACGGTAATGAAAGCTATAACAGTACTCAAACGGGTGCTGTAATGAGACTCCTTACAGCATCCGATGCTGTAATGAGATTTTAGTAACATTTTATGGAACCAGTTCAAGTTGGTGACATTGGGTCATTAATTTTTCTAGTTGTCAATGTGACAATTTTTGTCTATGGATGTTTAAACACGTTCTTAGCATCGAATACAAGGTCCACAATGATGAGGACATTGAACTCTGAGCAATTTCTCTTATTTTGGGAGGTGTACATGAAACATTTTTTTCAGGTGAATACATTTTGTGTTTTGACAGTTTCTAATTGTCAATTCAAATTTCTATTTTCAAGTGTTACGGTGTTACCAACTGCTACATACCTATTTCCCTACATTGTCAAAATTTATTTTATTTTTGTTAAAAAAAAAGGATAAAAACGCGAATTACAAAAAATAGCATAAAAAACACGTTTCATAAGACTTAAAGCACTCGTTTTTCAACTTGAATTCGTGCATTTCAAGCGTGTCTTACGAAACTTGTTTTTTAATATACTAATTCTCACCTTGAACTGCACTAACTTGTGATTCATTCTCATAAATATTATACCCCAAATAAGCTAAATACTCAAAAGTTCTTGGTAAATCAATAAGCGTCATTAACGCCCATTGGCACATATATCCTTGGTAAGTAATCCAACCTTTTTCATTTGTTGGAACCATCGAGCTAATGTCGGGCCCCCAAGGGGGTGTTGGACATGTAGAAAATAATTCGTCAAATTCCGATGGTGAAAGCGCACGATCTCGGTCTTTATCAAACCGTTCAAACATGTGCGTTAAGAACTGTTGGCCTTTATGCGAAAGTTCCGTTGTAGAACCGGAGGGGACTTTCAAAACTGGAGATAAATAATCTCTGCTCATATTTAAATGGTCGTTGTAGCCAAATTTTCTCATTACAGTCCAGGTGGTTTCATTTTTACCACGTTGTATAAACAAACTGTGTAAATAAAGAAATCCTTTTAATGTGACACAATTATGACTGACTCCATCCTCCAAGTTTTTTCGTAAAACGGCTTTTACATCATCTAAAACTTGAGGTTGTAAAGGACCATTGAAACAACGATTTTGAAAGTTATTTAATTCAATATCGTTAAGTAAACCATCACAATCCACATCGCATATTTTAAATATCCTTATTAAAGCTTTTTTACAAGCGTCTGTTAACTGAATAAGTAGATAAAATTACTTTTATTGTTATTTTTACGGATTAAAGACTTACATCGGAATGTTCTACCGAATAAATGGGTCCCGTTGGATGTAATACAGCTTTTTGGGCGTAATAAAACATTTCTGAAATGTTTTTTAAAGTTTTTGCAGAACATTCAATGCATGTTTCAATTTCTGCAAATTCTTCCATTATATTAAAAACTCCCTTTATAAAAAAGAATCCATTAAATGAAATGTAATTAATATTAAATGAATTTACTTACATCAATAGTTGAATAATCAACTAAATCAATTTTATTGCCAACTAACACAACAGGACATGATCCATCGGGATGATTAAATCTAATTAGTGGCATCCAATAAGAAGATATTCTCTCGATAGAATCGTCATTATCAACAGAATAAACAATACAAATAACGCTTGCATGTAAAATTTGTTCATTTAATTCTTCATCAGATTGTTCCGATGATGAATAATCAACTATGTTTGTTGGCACTTGTTCTGGAGTAACATCAGCAGGAATTGTAATTTCTTCAGCTTTAGCAGGGACGTTTTCCGGGAATTCCTCGCAAACTAACGACAAAATTAGTGATGTCTTACCAACGCCTTGATCGCCGAGGAGTAAAATCCTCACGTTCCGCTTTTGTATGGTTTTAACAACCATTATTTTTGTTTATAAATGTATTTTAATTGAGTATTGATACGTAAATTATTGCGTTTCCTTCTAAAAATATAAATTATAACAGTTATTTTTTTGACATGTCAAAATCTTAACCTCACTTTTATTATTTTTTTTGCTTGTAATTGAATAATATAGTTACGATTAAAGAAGTACGTAAATGTTACCCGTTTTAATATTCACATGTTAACCGAACGTAAAAAGACGAGAAATATTAACGTTCAAAAATGTAATTTTCATGTTTTTACAACCAAAGTTCATTCACGAAAGATGTCAAAGTGATTAGTATAGAGTTGTGTGCGTGATACATTTTCGTCTTTTATAAAAATAATCGTTAGGTTTTTATTTTTAAATGATTCAATTCTAATTTATACGGCACTAATAATCTTATTCATTGTGATTGTATATTAAGAGCATTTAAAGTTTTAATGTGGTTTTATGAACGACATCACGCACCTATCTCTATTAGGTCATGCTCTCCTACGACGAAAAAATTTGATCTAAAATTAAAATTGATACAACTAGACGCGAAACTAAATGCCAAGATACCTTTTAATGAATACTACTGAAGTAAATCTTTAATTTAAATCATTTGTGTTGATATTTAATCCAATTAATAAACTATTATTTTTTAAATTATAAATTATATTGATTATTTAGCAAATTAAAGCAATTCTTCGATCCATCCAGGTGCTTTTATTACAATTTGATTGATACAAATATTAATTTATTAATTAAACTAATTGTTTGTTTTAAAAATAAACATTTTTAATTTAACATCGCCATCTGTTGAAGATGTAAAGAACGAAGAAATAATTGACAGCCCACAGAATACAGCGTGTCCCGTATCTTCCGCATCAAAGCATTATACGGTTGTAGAATATATTATTCTGAAGCAATCTTATTAATAAAATTTTTTCGAAATGTTTATAATAACCGCACGGGAACTGTTTAACGACGACCAATAACAAAAAAAGTTTATTTCTCTTTCTGTGACGAATCTATTGGTGAGTACAGAATGGTTCAAATTCGATGTCCGAATAGGCTAACTCGGAAACTATAAGAGTTAGAAAAAAAGTAGCTTACATGTCATGATCTCGTTTTTCGAGAAACTGCTAATGCCGAAAACCTCATAGCGCTATCGTCTTTTGTTTTTCCCCTAGAGGCCAAAATTGAAAATATCGTAAAACCAA